TTTGACCACCGGCAAGTTTCGAATCTAGGACCTCCAGGATCATAGTAGGATACCCTAACCATCAATATTGTACACTCTCTGTCCAAGTCAATTTGGGAAGCTTCATATAGTTTCCCCTGCAATGATACACCATGACATACATTCTATACGCTGAAATGTTTTTAAGAAATAGCGAAATAAGCAAAAAGTGCAATTTAAATTACCGATCTCCTGACAAAGTTATTGGTTCCAAATTTTCCAAATTTCAACCCTTTTTTCCATCGAAATGGAACGCATGATGTGTCATTGTATCGGTCACTACATAAAGCTTCGTAATTTTCCCTGAACTGGGAATGAGGGGAGGTAGCGGGTTCAAATCCCGCTGTTATCCTGGATGCACCTTCGTGCTGTCTTCTCTGTATTGTGCTATCTGTTCTTCTATTTGACAAAAGTTAATAAGCCTAAATTGAGCACACAAACCTGCAAATGTGTATGTAATTCAAATAAACCAATAAGTAAACCTGAACTGGGGGTGTGTTGTTGTTGTTGTTGTTGTTAATTTACGTCGCACTAGAGCTGCGCAATAGGCTATTGGCGACGGTCTGAGGAACATTCCGGAGGATGATCCGAAGACATGCCATCACAATTTTGATCCTCTGCGGAGGGGATGGCACCCCCGCTTCGGTAGCCCGACGACCTGCACGCGAAGTCAAGCACTTTACGGTAGCGCAGTTTAACGAGGACAGATACCGCACACCCTCGGTCCCTACGCAGACTGATCCAAGAGTTCACCCACCCGCACACTGACCGTAGCCAGTGATGCTTGACTTCGGTGATCTGCTGGGAACCGTGTCTTAACGATCAGTCCACTGCGGGACGAACTGGGGGTGTGCAATAATGGTGGTTAGAGCAACCTACTACTAACTCGGTGGTCCTTGGTAACTAATATTGTGTTTAACATAAGTCATTGTTTTTATTGTTTTATTGGTACAACAAACATTTTCAGACTTGTGTGCTCAATTAAGGCTTATAAACCTTTGTCAAGTAGAAGGATAGATAGCAAAACACAGCGAAGAACATCACGGTGGGATTCGAAGCATAAGTAAACTAATATTGCTTTCGTGGAATTATTTGCTTTGAATGAATTAACAATAAAGAGCTCATTTTATGTTACATAGGTGATATTACCTTCGCCTCTCTTAGGAAAATTATAATTTCACTTTAGTTTTAACAATAAGAAACACTAAAGGTCTGGTTTCTTAAGACAAGCTCCTTATCTGGACGTCAGCGGAAAGTTGGCGTAGAGCTGACTCCAAAAAAATACTTTCTTGTTAGCTCTGCGTGATCAGTCGGTCAAACGCAGACATTATCTCTCATTGCGCATGCGTTAATAACGTAAACAAATATTTATTTTGAATTTGTATTGATTTTGTTATTGTCGACCAGTGTTTTAGAGAACAAATAATGACTTTGTCCAAGAAAAAACACATTATAGCTGAGCTAAATGAAGAGTGCTATGTTTAATGAAGAAGCTATGTTTAATGTCAAAATCAAAATCTTGGCTGATTTCAATGTGCTGTTGGATGTTGTCCGCCATTGCTTCTGTGGTTAACGTCACGTTGTAATCCAACTGCAGTTGAGTTGGACGGCAATTGTAGTTCAAGATGAGCGTTCGATGACGTATACTATCAAACTCACAAATGGACCAATCAGAGGTTAGCGCTGATTTCCAGCTGACGGCGTCCTGTCTTAAGAAACCAGGCCTTTAGTGCGTGGATCTGATGTATATTACAAAAAATTCACGAGATAAATTTGATACTGAACTAAGAATAACCAATATATATTTTATATTTTGCTTCCCAATACAAATTTTATATGAGCGAGACATTTCAATATTTATGTTTTCGGAGGGTTGGACGAAATTATAGTTTAGCAAATGTTTTGGGTGATTTTACATGGCAAAACTGTTAGCAGGATTTGAAAATCGTGTTAGAAGCTTTTAGAAGTAGCAATGTCCTTTTTACCCATGCATAGTTTGCATCGAACGAAATGTGCGACCGAAGATAAAAGTTTTTTTTTCCTTTTTTAATACCTCTATAATTAAAAAAGCATTCTTAAATGTGTATTGTAATCGTATAGAATGATTTCAAAATTGCTAGTATGAAAGCTACGAAGTGGTAATTAACTTCCTTTCCTCATTTTTGTCTAACTGAATTTTGCATGGGTAAAAATGACACCATTTCTCATAAGGTTCAAACATTACCTTTCAAATTGCATCAATACTTCCGATGTGTAAAATTTTTCAAAACGCTTAATGCTAAAAGAAAGATTTTTAGGGAGTTGCATGGGTAAAAATGACACAATTTCTAAAAAGGTTCAAGCATTATACTTCAAATTGCATCAATATTTCTGCTATATAGAATTTTTCAAAACACTTGCTGCTAAAAGAAAGATTTTTAGAGAATTAGTATAGAGGTGTTTCAATTTTTTTGTCCAACCCGCGTTTCACCGGTTGGTTTTTGTTAACCCGTGTTTCACCAATGTCTACAATAAAAACGCTTGCCAAAGATTTTAAAATGTCACACTGAGAAAAAAAGTATGGTCAAGACTACCCGAATAAGGTAAAATAAACTATGCTTCTGATACTATGTGAATACCAAAAAGCTCAGTAATTTTTGCCAATATACTTTAGAAATGATTTTGGTAAAAATTAACTATTAAATATGGTTTTATTACATGTGGTAAAATTTGGTAATTTTATCATGATTTCTGAGAGCATGGCATAAAAAACATTTATTTGGTTAAATTTATTTTTTAGTTTTGTATGTTTTACTAAATGTGAAGTAATAAGAACTTTAAATTTAAAAACAAGAATTTACTATAAACCAGCACAAAATTCACAATTATGTTTTAATTAAGTTTTTAAAAAAATGTAGAATCTTCCCTGATTTTTGTAATTTTTAACTCCTAAGTTTGAAAAATCCTATCTCGACTTTTGCGTAAAGTTTAAAACTTCCTGAAAAAAAGAAGAAGAGTAACTTATTTTTTACGAAAAAAAATCAGAAAGCAACTTTAAACGTACGCTTATAAACATTTGAAACTATAGTTCAAATATATTGTAATAACACGTAAGAAATTTCATACTTTTGAATTATTTCTATGCGTAAAACTGTTAGAACTTTGATAAATTTCGGAGCACTTAAAGTCATCCCTTTATTCACACCTTTCAGAAACAAAAATAGAAAAAATTTAAAACTATTCACGGCAGTAAATAAATAAAAATACAACGAAAATAAATTTATAGAAATAATTATAAATTATTTAGTAAATCAAAATGAAAGTACACACTTAAATTGACTTTTAAGAAATAGAAACTCCATTTATTATTTTTTATGTTCTTTTGTGTTACTTTTAGGTTATTTTAAGGTAAGTAAATCAAAAATAATTCTATTTAATAAATTTGAAAATGCATCATCCAAAGTTTGGCCACGTTTTTCATTACTATAAAATATGAAGCAGAACACTAAGAGGTAATATTATGCTAAATTCAGTTCATTCATTTTCATTTCATTAAAAAAGAAACATTTATTTTTTCAAACATGGTATTGCTTTTTTTTCTAGGCTTTTTTATTCTTTTGCTGTTTCTCGTTATTGATTTTTCAAAAGAAAAAAAAAGCGAGTATTTCGGAAAACTCACGAATTGTGTAAATTTTTCCGTTAATGGATAAAATACCGGCATTTTAAAGAATTCCTAGTCATTGTATTAAATTCCTAGATATTCAATAGAATGAAAAAGGCTTTTTAGGACAAATTATTATGTACTTTCCGCAATCAATATGTAGAATGACTGAAAGCATTTAAATAGTCATTCAATAGAATTCTTAAGCAGCATGTAGAAGACTACTCATTTCGTATTCTTCTGAATTTATGCATTCTATAAAATGTTCCTTTAAATACATTAATGATAAAAAATTTATGGAAGATAACTCCCGCTAACTTTTGGAGAGCGAGACTCATAATTTTAAACTTGGAACCCCGTTCTTGTTTTGGGAATTTAAACTCAAATGATAACGCCTCTGAAACTTTACCATTCCTATTGGTTCCAACATGCTATAACCACTTCATTTTTCCTAAATATAACTGATTTTTAGCATTTTAAAACTATTATTATTAAAAGGAAACGCCAAAAAGAATTATATGTTGTACTTGATATTTGAAATTTTAAGCATTCAAATGATTTAGAAACCGGTAACATACTTATAGGTTAAAACTGATGGTTAGGTTGAAACTGTAGTCTAGTTCGTAATTGATTAAAGTTAGAAATATTTCGATATTTGATTCCACTTTTCCTTGTTAAAATTTAAAAAAAGTGATACATAAATTTAGAATGGAAATTCAGGAGAAATACGTCAAATACTACTCAAATACGAATACTTCAAATTAACTCTTAAAAAATGTGCTTTCATCTTCTTCAACATCGAATCCCAATCATTACCTTCCTCACAATTTTAGACAGCCTTGGTTCTTGAGACAATTACTCTACCATCTCGTTTTTGATCATGTGAATAGATCGTAAGATATTTCACATTAACATATCTCAGAAATTGCTGTTTTGCAGTTTCTCTTAATGTATTCCAATTTGCTCAATCTCACCCTGACCCACGGCTATCACCTTCTTCAGGGAGTAAAAAACTCATAACCAGGAGCGATGTATCTCTCAGACTATGCAAAATGAAACCAATGATAAAATTTATTGACATTGATTCTATTTGATTCATTATTTCTTGCATTAATTTCATTTGAAAAAAAAATCGTTTGCTAATTGAAGGTGAAATAATTGTTCTTTTCAGACGACATTTTAAGGTAAATCATGGAGAGATCGTTGGGACCATTTCGCTTGACCACGTGAAGTTTTCTCAAACGATATGCAAGGTTAATTCATGCCTGACCTCAATATTGTGGCACTGAAAGGATAAACTTTTTGGACACGCCCAAGGGTGAAAGTAAAGAAATGAAGAAAAAAAAATACTTGAACTTTCACTTTCGTATTAATTTTTTCATTGAGACGATCGACTATAAATACTCAGACCGAATCAACATGGATCAACACAACTTCTCCATCTCTCTCCAATAGGACTAATCAGCTCAATTCTTTTACAAGCATCATGAAGGTGGTGAGTAGTCTTAAATATCAGACTCAAATTGAAGTATAGTTTGCTAAAATAAGTTGAAGAATAGTTTGCTAAAATAAGTTGAAGTATAGTTTGTTAAAATAAGTTGAAGTTTAGTTTGAAAAAAATAATCATATAAAATTATAAAACAATTCTCTTAAATATAATGTTTAAAGTAGCTTTAAAATTGTTTTTAAAATACTTTTCTTTAAAAAAGTTAAAATTTCTTATTAAAAAGAATTGAACAATTTCTAACTGTAAAATCTAAACTGTTTTGAAATATTTTTGAAAATTTTAAAATAACAAACAAGTCTAATTATACTTCACTCAACTCTATTCAATAAGCTTAAAATAAATTTTTTAATTCGTATTCTTAATTATTTACAAATTTCAAAACAATTTTACTTTTAAAATTTCAATTTTAAATTTTAAATTTTCAAAGCTAGTACAAAAATTCAATTAAGCATAAAAATAAAAATTTCCTATTTACATTTTTAAAGTATCATTTAATAATTTTAAAACTATGAAGTAAATATCTGTGTAATATCTTTTTATAAAACTGTCGGTTTCAACTTAAGGAAATTTATCAAATTTGACAATTTTTAATACATCAAATTTTAACTAAATTCGCTTATCCTTTCTTTCAGTTAAAAAGTTGAATCTGTTAATTTTAAATGTATTAATTAAGAACTTCTTTTAAAATATTTCATAAAGCGGAATACTAAAATAGTAAATAACACTATTTTATTTGTTATTTTATTCAAAAAAAATAGTTAAGTACTAAAATAAAACTTTAAATTAATTTAAATAACTTGCAGATTTAATAAAAAAAAAACTTATTTCCAATAAAAAATTTCAATGAAAACTACATGAAAAAATGGAAAAAAGAATTAGTTTGTCCTCAGGAAACTGAAACATTTTTGATGGTATAGCATTGAGGTTAAAATCCATAAACTAAAAATTTCTGAAATAATCATTTTAGTTTTTACTTACACGCACCAAAAGGAATAATATGTTATAGAATGCTCATTAAAAATGAAAATAATGCTATTTGTAAAAAAAAAAATTACATGCTTAACAAGTGTCTTTAGTTTTATTATTTAATATTTATAATATTTTCATCCAATTTAAATATTTTGACACTTTTTGCTTTTATTTATTATAATATCAAAACAATGCAGATTTACTATAGTAAATATTGAAACAAAATATTCCAGAATATGAATCTACTTATAGCATAAAATAAAAATGTGAATTTTTTTTACAATAACTGTTAACATATTCCTATCTGAAGTTAATCTGAAAGAATAAAGATATTTGTTTTTTTTTAAAAATTAAGTTAAAATAGCAAAAAGTATAAATTTAATTATTTATCTTTAACGGCCATCTTTAACGGTAAGCTATATAAATCTTGCAAAAAAAATCAAAAAAAAAATTTTGTTACTGAATTCTAACAAATATTCACTAATAACAAGAAAAGAAGTAAAAAACAGCATATTTTTCTCATTATTATTTTAATTTTTTCAATAATTTAAATAAAAAAATATAATAGGTTTCATTATAATTCATACATATTAATAAAAAGGAATATTAACAAATATTCATTAATATTAGTAAAAAATTTCGAGGAACAATATATTTTTATTATTTTAATTTTAAATTCTTTAATAATTTAATGAGAAAACTATACAAAATGTCATTACAGATAATTTAGATATTGAAATCTCTTGAAATTCATATTAATATTTCGAAACGCTTTAATTATTGTTAATGTATCCTACATATTTAATAAGTAAATCTTCAAAGTCAAAATACCAAATTATCATTAAGCTATTTTTCCCTGTATCTTAAGATTCTAAATCTTAAGAGTCATTTATAATCGCTACGTAAAGAGTGCATGATGTCAATGATCAAACTAAATTGTTATTTTGAATTTGAATTCATTTAAATTTAATATTTAAAAAAAACAATAAGATTTTTTCTTTAAATTTATGCAAGTAAATTAACTATTGTAAACCAGCAAATTACGCTGCAACAAAAAATTTAGATTTCCCGTTAAGTCCCAGCCTAAAAGATCATAATTTTGAAAGTCTTAGTTGCAAAGCATGATATCAAACTTAATATTTATATTATTGCTATATTCCGCAGATCGCTCTTGTTTTGTGCATGGCCGCCGCCGCCATGGCTCAATACCACGGACATGGATATGCTCCAGCTCCAGCACCAGCTCACCAGGTTGTCCATGTTCAACCTGCTGCTCACCATGCTTCATCCCAAGGACATGCCTATGGTGCTCACGGACAAGCCGCCTCTGGATACGCCGCCCATGGAGCTAACAGCCATGCCGACCGTGGACACTATGCTGACCGTGCTCACGCCGCCCATGGTCACCATAACGCTGGTGGATACGCTGCCCATGATGCCCAGGCTGCTCAAGGTACTTTTTTTTCTCCAATTTGCTATGGTGAAAATGTTCATATAGTTACATTATTAATAATGTTTGTAATAATACTTCACTGCATAAACATTTAGTTATTATAAATTCCGTTCAAATATTTGCACCTACAAATTAGTTCAAATTTCAAAAAAATAAAATGACAAACATCATTACATTTTAAAAATTTTCTAGTCTACAGCTAACTTCAAATATTTTTAATATTTTTTTGGTTTTCAAAATTATAGATCTTATTACCGCACATTCAGTAAAAAATACAAAACTTAAATTATAGATCTTATTACCACACATTTAGTAAAAAATAAGAAACTTAAAAGTAAATTTAACCGAATAAACAGTTTTTTATGCCATTCTCTAAGGTAGCTTGGTAAAATTACCAACATTTACCACATTTAGCAAATTTTATCAAATATTATAAAAACGTATTTTATTGTTTATTTTAACAAATTCTTTACCAAAGTTCTTCGTTAAAAATTACCGAGCTTTTTGTTATTCCCATAGAACCAGAAACTAGGTAAATTTTACTATATTCTAGTGGTTTTACCACACTTTTTGTTCTCGATATATTAACATGAGCACACAAAATTTTTAAAAATATAAGTCATAGATATGTAGGCTTTGCATACTTACGAGTATCTTAACTAGTTAACGCCTTATACAAAATTTTTAAAAAGTAATAGTCTGAGCAAAATTAAGATCAAATTAAAAATTAATCAAATATAATAAAAATATATAATAATAAAGAGAATAATAAAGTAATAATATAATAATAAAATTAGAGTTCAAAGATAATATTCAGCTGTTTTAGTTAAAACAATAATCACCAAAGCTAAATAATAAGTTTTTTAAGTTTAGATTATATATGAAATAACGTCTATAATATGAATTCTTTTTCCAGCTTCCAACTATGGCAAATACAGAAACACCGGAGCTTACGCTCACGATAAGGGAACTGGATACGAAAAGGCATACGCTTACGACAAGAAAGCCGGACACCACGCAGTCCTCGCTGACCACGGTGCCCAATCTTCCAGCCACGCTACCGCTGACAAGGCCGCACACCACAATGTTGGAGCTTACGCTCAAGCCGGACACAACAAATACGGATCCCATGACAGACAAGCAGCTCAATCTCATGGAGTTCAAGCTCACCAAGCCTCTGCTCATGGTCAACATGGAAGCGGACACCAACAAATGTACTTCCAAGGACCCGGATACGCATACAAATACTAAATACCATCCAACTGGTAAGTAATATAGATACAATCGATGCACTTAAAAAAAACTTTAAAAACATGTTAAAAAAAGATTTTGAAAACATCCAAATTTCAAAGTTTAAAAAATATTTTGCTGCAGATGCAGCACTGCCTAAAAAACTAAAAAGGGTGACGATTTAAAAAAAACGAAGGTTTTTGGAAATAGGAAACTAGCTGGAAACAGCAACACATTGATAATAACAAAAACTTAAAATAAAAATTAACGCATCTAAATTTTGCAGAACTTCGAAACCGAATTAAAACTACTACACTTTTTGTTGTCCTAAGTAGTATTGCATTCTAATATTGCATGTAGCTCCCCTTGCTGTTAGATTACAGGGAGAAACAGTGCTAATTTACAAAAACATATTAATTTATTTTAAATTTGGCTCCTATGGGTTGGTAATAAAAAAAAATGCTTTGCAAACAGCTTCCTGATGCTCCTATGCATTTTAAAGCTATTTCTTAACAAAATGTCACGAAAATGCTCCCTAACATGTATAACATTAATTTATTTTAATAAATTTTCAACAAATTAAAGATAAGTTTGAATAGCAATTACGTTTAACTTATTTTAATAAAAAAGTGCTGAAAAAATGATATAAAGTTATAAATTTTATATAAGTAGCAAATTATTGAAATATGTGATGTTGTGTAAGATTCAGTTCAGAATTTCTCTAAGATTTGCATGTTTTATTTTGCAGATATTCGATTGAACCCGAATTTACTGAAATGGACTGGACCAACTGTAACTCGTCTGTTGTTATTAATTTATTACCTTCTTGTTGTTTGTAAGAAAAATATAAAAATCATTCAATAAAAAATTTAAAAGAAAATTTTTTCGACTTTGTCATCATTTACATCCTACAATTCAAAATTAATTATTCGAACCATTTGCATTTCATGTTTTCGAATATTACTAACTTCGATAATTATTTCAGAAAACAATTTTCTATTCTTCATCTAAAATTTGCCAATAAATGACTCGATGGGAAAATAATTGTATTAAGTCTCCGATTCAGTTTTAGTTCAGTACATTATTTCCTTTGCCTTTAGAATTTTTAACAACCAAAATACTAATTTTTTGCTCCTAATGAAATAAGATTTTGAAAAAAATCAAATTAACTAATGACAACTTTAAAATTAAAATTTCAATATAACTATATGAAAATATTGCACAAATAAAAGGCTAAGTAATAACATTTAACGAACTATAATGAAATTCTTATTTAGCTCGAAAAAATACAGCTTTGCATTGTTCACTGAAATATGAGATAGGTATATCCCATTTAAATGAAACTAATCTTTTAAATTGAATTTCATATGAAAAGAATTTGTTCTTAAATAACCTGTAAAAGCACCAAGTTAAAATGAACAGTGCTTGAAAATCTTATAAGTACAATATGATGCGTTAATCCCTTTAAAAACTTTATCTAAAACTCTGCTTGTAGTAGAATAAAATAACTAAGTGAAATAATATCAAAGGTATTTATTGTTAAATAATATTGAATTTCGAAAATTAAAACTAATATAAAAACATTTTTTTCAAATAACACTTACCATGAGTAGCAAATAATTTTGAGTATTTTCAACCATTTATTAAAGGCAAAACTTATCTCAAATTCAACACTTTGTGCAGACAAAATGACAACATAAAGCAAATGTATTTGATGTTAAAATAAAATATAGTTTATAATAAAATATTAATTAATATCACCATTTGTTGTTAAATATCATTTAGCAGTTAGATCACTTCAAATATCTGAAATATAATATTATATGTTTTTCATACATAATAATAACAATATTTTTTTAATTCATACAAACAAATTATCTTTATTTATTGTTTAGCTTTTCATGAGAAAAATGTATGCAACATTAATAAAAAAAAATATTCGATCGACAATAATTTTTTTAAAAAATTTAAAATCAAAGCTTGAATTTCGATATTTGCTTCTAAATATCAACTAATCGTTTCAAAGCAATAGAAGTGAATCAATTTATGTAATTTATCTATGAAGCTTTTAAAAATTTATTGAAATAAGCGACATTTAAAAAATTTACAACTCTTCATTAGATAAAAGAAAATACAAAATAGTAAAGCAATGATCATATTCAATAGAAAATAATTTAAAAACTTTAAATTGTGAATGCTTATTTAAACATATTTTTAATACCATCTAATCATCCAAAAATTTAGCAACAGAGTTCGCCAAAATAGGTCCCTAAGTTTTTTTTTTCTTCTTTGATCATTTGAAAAAATCCATTTTCATCGTTGATTTTTTAATGAGAATTTGGTAAACATCCATAACTTTTACAAGAGGGACTTGCTTAAATAAAGATCATAATTTTGATGATATCTGCCTTCCTCGATTCATTTTCGCAATTTTACGTAATTTATGTGATATGTGTTTTAAACAAATTGTTAAAATATTTATATACTTCTGTAATGACATATGTAAACAATTTTATAATTTTTAACAATTTCTCAAATATTAAACAGGATTGAAACAAATATTGGAAGTATAATTCATTACTTGAACTTTCAGTTTATTAAAAGCACCTTCATTATATTTGGTACCTATGAAACAAACTTTTAATTGTTTTTACTTTTTCTAGTTAATTAGCTCATGTAATTTGTATTTTCCTTAATCACGATTTTATTAATTGAAATATATATGGATAAAAAAAGTTAGTAAGCAAAAAATTAAAAAAAAAAATTTTTTTTTAATTATGCCTGAAATTAATATCTTCTTCAAGGAATATTTTATTAGCTCTCAAATAAACCAAAATTAGAACAAAAAAAAAGTCGAAAACAAAAGGTTTTCCCCATAATATACTTATGTTAACGTTCCTTAGCATGACTTAGCTCTGATCAATAATCTACACAGTTACTGTATGTTCTGCTGGCTCCTGTATCTGACAAAATTTACATTTATAAAAACTAACTTTTTGATATGTTTTCATTCTTAGTTCTAGGGTTTTCGGCTATCAATGTTCAATTCTACAGCCTCGTAATTTTAAACAAAATCCAGAAAACAAGGGAGATCTTGGATCAAGTATTGCAAGAAATTTGCATTCGTGGTGTACTGTCTGATGGAACTAGCCTGAATTTGCGTTTCATGAAAAGAAAAACCATGGAAACCTCTCATGGTTAGACTGACGGCGAGGGAATCCTAACCCATGATCCATCTACCAGTGAGGATATTTTAATCAGCAGTGTGATCGGTAATGAGATCAGCAATGTGATCGGTACGCGTCGGGAGCAAAATTCGTATCGAGCAGTCAGCGCTGCGATTCGAATCTGGGTAACTTCATTAGGAGGCGAACGCTCTATCCCTTGAGAAAACATATACTACTTGCATGCATATATATATATATATATATAAATACAAGAAAACACTAAGAAAGTTAAGTTAATATTTAAATTAAANATATATATATATACACTTCCCCTATGTAATGCTATGTGACGCTGAATTACATATTCGAAATTTCCTTATTCCTTATTTATTAAGTAACTAATTGATGTTTTTTTTCACGTTAGTTCTTGAAATTTTTATCCCTGCTCCCAATTACGAAATGTTAAATTTCAAGGTTGCGAGTGTTTTTAAAACTTTTTTTAAGTTGTTATAGTGCTTTAAAAGCTAAAAAGGAAATTGCGTTTATACACCGAGAAAAAAATATGGTTAAAACTATCGAAATATACTAAAATTTACTGCTTTTCTGGCTCTATGGGAACACCAAAAAGCTCAGTAGTTTTCACCGGAGCTCTTTGGTAATGACTTCTGGTAAAATTAACAATAAAATATGACATGAAATGTGATAAAATTTGATATATGTGGCAAAATTTGATAATTTTATTCGTGATATCTTAGAAAATGACTTGAAAAGCATTTTGATTAAATTTACAGATTAATTTTGTAATTTTTACTGAATGTATGGCAGTAAAAGAATTATAATTATGAAAACCAGAATTTTCGGTAAACCGTTACCAAATGAATGGTTTAAATAAGCTATATTTTGGATTTTATTACCAAAATTATGTTTGTTTGTTTTTTAAATCAGAAATGCCATTACTTCATAGTATGGTAATTTTACCGGAAATTTTTTTTCCGTGTATAATTTTCTGATGGTTAACATGGAAGAAGTAGAATCCCTTTTCCTATTTAAAAGAGATCCTTACGGACATTAAGAGCATCTTTAAACTGCAAACAATTAAGAAAAATATCGTTCTAATACATTGCGTTCGTAAAATCCTAACAAACGTAATAAATAAAGGAAAACCACGTGAATAAAGTCAAATAAATGCACAAAAATAGACTTATAGCAGAGGTGGCCAACCTGCGGCTCGCGAGCCACATGCGACTCTTTGAAGGATTATTTGTGGCTCTCGATAAATGTACCCGAGTTCCCTTTTAATTTTCGTGCTATTATATTTTAAAAAATTATCATCGTTCCGTATGTGTTTCAAAATGTCTTTTCAATTGCTGAGAACAAATATGAAAGACTAAGTGCAACAATGTTCAATTCTAGGTAAGTTTTCCATTTCCAATATAATTATGACACAAAAAGCATCTGGAGAATTAGAATGAATAGAGATGAAAGAAGATCAAGCTCTACAATTAAAATATAACTCGACGTTGATTACTGAATTTTGGAAATTTGTACCAGACTCGAAGTATCCTGAATTAAAAAAGGCTGATTGTAAAATTATTTCAATAATCGGAACAACGTACTTATGCGAATCATTTTATTCCACTTTAAAATTCGTGAAATCCAAACACCGATCAGTATTAACTAACTAGCATCTCAAAGAATTACTGAGAAGTACTGACACCAATTAGTCACCAAATTTTTAAGAATCATCAAGAGAAGTAAAATAAATGTGTTTAATTTTTGATATTTAAATTCAATACACACACATTTGTACTTTTACTTATATGTTCTCAATAAATATAATTTAAGTAAAAAAAAATTTTTTTTTCATAACTTTTAAGTACGTATTTAATTGAGGCTAGCGAAAAATTTCAAATTTTGAAAAATGGCTCGACTATCAAGGAGCTTGGCCACCCCTGACTTATAGTTTCGGTTCCATTTACAAAAATCTTCTTCAGTGTCGAAACTCAAAATTTTTTCACTTCGACAGTTGAAAAAGTATCGACTGGTTTTTTTTATTGAAAAAATACCTCCTTACACCCCAGAAATTATGAATGAATGAAAACTTAAATTATTTTTCTCGTATTTACTCCGCACCATTGCACTCTTTGTGTAAAAAAATTGAGAATAGCTGAAATATAATATGCCATGCAAGGATATCAATTAGCTGTTATGAACACATGCTTTTTTTTTTCATGCCACGCGTTGCAAATCGACCAAACTTAGTTTCAAGTGAGTGTGTCAGTAAGCCAAAAATTCAAAAGATTTTTTTGTGGATTTGTTCGAATATCGCCATGTCCCCCGCGCACTCCCTTCATTTCTGTTACATGATTAATATTTTTCGAACGTCTGTAGGGATGACGATCGAAGTCCCCTTCATTCCGATAAAGGGGCTCCCCATCCTCTTCCAAAGTGCATCACTTCCTTCCTCCCACAATCCCTGGTCACCCCCTGCAATGAAGCTTATGTTGTTCCGTCCCCTGTCCCCCTCTTTTAAAAACTCACGTCACCCTATTTCACCCCGACGTTTGCGTTTTCACAACCATCCCTCTCTCCCCCTTCTTCGTGATCTTGCACCAGCGTTCCATGACACTCACGGATCAAAATGATGAAAAATGGAACGTTTCATTCCATGAATGAGCCAGGAATACAGATGGAACAAATGGAGCTCTAATAT